ATATGTATTGCTTGAAGAAACCATGAGAACATTCAGCTCTTTGGCTGCTTGACATTCCAGCGGCAAAAAAGTGTCGTGCGTAGGCTGGAACCCAAGATTCCCTTAAATCAAACATTGAACTTAGCCATGGATGGTCAGTCAAACCAGCCTTTGTAACCACAATATTCCATTTTGCATCAAACTCATCCTTATTGTCAGTATCCCATATGGCTTTCTGGAATTCGCCCTAATACTCCTTATAAGCAGAATGTGGTAACTTACCAGAGAACTTTGATGTGATGTGCCATATGCAAAGTCGATGAAATGTAGTCGGGAAGGCTATTGAAATCGCTCTGCTCATTGCCGCATCTTGATCTGTGATGATCGTTTTAGGTTCGCCACCTGGCATGGCTTTCTTAAACTCCTCAAACATCCAAATAAACGACTCAGTCGTTTCCTTGCTCAAAAATGCGCATGCTAGGACAATTGTTTGACCATGGTTATTAACTCCCAACATTGGTGCAAATGTCAAGTCGTATCTATTCGTGTTGAATGTGGTATCGAATACAACAACATCTCCATAAAACCCGTACGCCCGTCTAGAAGTTGCATCTGCCCAAAAACATCGACTAAACCTGTTATCGCCATCTCCCTCAATCTTGAAATAAAAAGCCTCATTTTTTTTCTGTTCAGCCATAAAATACTCGGTCACTAGTTCAACATCGTGGTTCCTCAGCTTCCCATTCACACTACATTCAAGATTGTACATATCCTTTTTGATAAAACCGATTTTATCCATTCCTCCGGATTGCACCTCGAAAATACTTACCTTCTGATTAATGGGAATATTAACCGAACCCAACTGTTTTGTGAGTACTTTTGTAGAATCTGAGATACGACGGTGTGATCTCAGTAAATGCATTCTTCCTGAGGGTGTCATCTTATGATTGTGTCCCTCTGCAAAAAGAGAGATGGTATACTTCTTGCTCCCATGTGTCTTCACAACCACAATCTTAGCTTTGCAATTGCATCTACTTATTCCCCGCTGTCTTTTTCTCTCCCGAGTTTCATCATTCCGGTATACACCTTGTTTGCAACATACAAATTCTTTTCTCAGAATCTCTTTCTTATTTTTCCCCCAAAAGCTGGAATGAAGTCGAATACCAAAGCCAGCCAAGAATGCATATCTATTATAGAAATTATAAATGAGGTCAAGCGAGTCGAACTTCATCCCAACTGCTGGTGTTTCCTCATTTCTTACTTCAGGAATGTAAACCCTCCCATTAGCTGTTACAGAGTCATCACTCTCTGAGCCCCCAGACATTTTATCCACGTATATTATTGATCTACTTCTATATTACTGCATAGCAAATGTTAATTCATTAATCAATCATTACTGCATCACAACTTATCAATGCATTCCACTTACACAAAACATTGCCCAAATTGACACAATACACGCATAGCCTAGCTTGTTGGATTCTGATTACACAAAACACAAGCAAAATTTAATAATAGTTACGTCATCTCTTGTGAAATAATCTGGAAAAAATAACATTAGAACCAACATGTTCAACTAAGAACTCAAATGTAATTCAAACCAGCAATTACAGAACTTCACCCAATATCCTCTCCAAATGCTTACTTCTAATGCCATTAAGCCTAAGTTTAGGATCTTTTACCTACATTTCATAAATTTCCAATCCCCCTCCAAACAAAAATAATCAACTAAGTATATTGAATATTCATAAGGAAATGACGCATTATTGATAGCAGAGCAAATGACGCATTATTGATGCCACAAATGACAAATTTCTCACCCTCACAAAAAACAAATCAAACCCAACAAAATCAATCTAGCAAGAGTGAACTTACCTCTCAAAGTCAATCGGGAGTTCCGAACTCAGTCAGCTTCAAAGAATGTGGTGGACATTAGAGAGGATTCTTTCGTAGTGGAGACTCCATCTCTACCAAAATCCAGGAACAACTGCAGCAGCACGAAAAAGAGATATGCTACTTTGCTTTCATCTGGAATCTCTTCTGCTGAACGAAAAAGAGAAGGGGTTTTCACTTCAATCATAGAATCAAAACAGGGCAATAGCTAGGTAAAAGCCATTAATCATCATACCGAGGATACCATAGATCGCAGGCCTCCCAAGGAGCTGATGACAATGGAGCGATTATAGAGTTTGGGAGCTTTGGATCTTTCTAATTGTGGATTTGCATTACATTAAAAAAGAGAGGATTGTGTTCTTGAGTTTTTCACAGAGAGGGAAAAATCTTCAGCTGAAGTTGGGTTTCCAAACGGGTCAGATTTCAACCCGGTTCTACATGCACCCTCTTTTAAAAACTCACCGTTGGATGAAATCCAACGGCTCTTACATACCCCTCAAAAAAACCCCTTATAACTTTCCACTCACTATAGAAGCACTCATATACATAGGCTTTAAAAAAAAAATTTGGGCCCCCCTCAGCTGTGGGCCCCGGGCTGTAGCCCTGGTGGCCCTGGCCCAAGGCCGGCTCTGCACTTTACCGGCGATGGTCGTTGGATCCTTGACCTAAAACTCATATTGGCTTGTACATCGCTTCACTGGTGATTCAGATTGTTTCCATGTCGACAATGAAACTTATCCCCATCGTCTCTGGCCGACTTGGACCCTTATTATTTTGAGGTTTTTTTTATCTTTTATTTATTCGTTTACATATTTATTCACGCGACATGAAAAGAAAACAAGCTTTATTTTTTTGGGGTCGAAGCATGTGACCATACCATATTTCACATTGCTGTGCTACTTAATGGTTCAAGGTCTACACTTTCTTGAAACTTGGATGTGTTTCCAACGAGACTCCATGTAAAAGGAGTCATTATGCTGGGCGTATACACCACATTTGAATGCATGAGATGTGCCTCCACGACCATCTGCCTCTAATTTGAGACATCCATCAATGTAAACCTTCACTTTTGCAGCTTCAACATCGTGAATCACATTCAACTTGAACCATTTGTCATAGATGTTTGGTACCAACACTGGACCCGTGTAATACATGAGTGAACCATTGTAAACCCTAAGCATTAGAGTTGTGGCATGAGGAGCACTTGCTCCAAACACTTGCATTATACACACACTTGATGTCCCATATGGTACATACCCATATGCTTCAAATTCCCAAACCCCGGAAGAGTAATTGTATCCCTGCAATAGATACAAAGAGTTAATGATCTGTGAGACCATTGATCATGTTGAATTTTGACATTATATAAAGTGCGGTCTAAACAATTGTAGCATTAGTTTGTTAAGAGAACCTTACTTGTATGGCAATCTCAGTACGAGGCATGGTTTGGCTGGTAGTAGTGTGAGGTTTGTCTGTGGAGTAGACCCAACATTTATGAATTCCATCGACGAAGCTGTAGCGCTGGTCTTCGGGGACATCGTAAGGCTTCTGAATATGGTAGAATGATCGGTTAAAAGGGAGGGAAACAAAGCCTTGTGTAGGAACATCAGGTCCCCAAGCCAAGGCTTGGAGTAGAATGAGCTGAAGAAAGCTGATCATCAAGCAGAAGAAACCTAGCAACTGAAAAGAAGAGTAGTATGCCATTCTTTTCTGAAGAAGACTCACGAAAATATTGCATAGAGGTTGGAGTGGTTGAAATACATATATATATAGAGTGATATGACATTAACAAGTATACTCACACGGAGCCAAACCACAATGTGAGACTATTCTTCAACACTTCTCCTCACGTAGATTCCTCTATTTTAAAATGATAATACATGTAAGCAACTAGTCCAGGTGACTGTAATCATACCACTGAATATGCACTATTATATTAAAATTATAACAATATTATAACCATCACATTCTTAAGGGTTCCCGTCAAACAGAAACAAACAACAAAGATATAAAGAAACAAAAAAAAATTGTATTTAGAAACTTACAAAAATATATAGGATAATGTTCTTTCAAAAGTCTAGCATGTGATGCTAAAGTTAACCTAATATCAATTAGTCTAGAGTAAGAATCAGAACATTTCCAGAAAAAACATTACAAGAATTAATTTTACCTTTACTTAATTTAGTTGGAAGTTCAAGTCAAGACTGGGAGAGATGACAGGATGACAGGAAACAAAATCCACAACAGTAGAGACAAGAAATATAATTGGAAAAATAGTAGGTGAAAGTTGATTGAGATGCCATTGAGCATTAACGTCAACCGAAAAGGTGGAGATGAATTTAATTAGACAGCAGCTACAACCATAGTTGTCCAGGGCAACAAACTTTCTTATGATGCCTCCCCCTCTAAACTTCTATCATAAACAGTAAATAAACATTGCTTGTTTATTTGTTTAAGAGAGCCTCTCAAAGCAAAGCATGTCAAGCTAGCCCTACCTAGCAGCCAAGGCCTCATAGCCAACTAGTACTTGAGGACTTTTCGACGTCGATCACAAACCGATACCTGACATTGGATTTGGCGAGTCGTGCCATAGCTGTTTTAATGTAATCCATTGGGATGAGCTCAATGAAATGCCAAGATTACAAATGTTTATAGAAATTGTTCATTATTGGTTCATGTTTAATGCAAAGTTTTTGAGGTCTGTCATATCAAAGATCTTGGTTCAGTTTTTGTTCTCACCATGGCCGACCTTTAGATGTTCAATACTTAAACAACGACCATCACATGATCTAACATGAAATAAGCACAACTATCTTCCATGAAGACATGCCTAGTCTAGTGGTTTGGTGTGGTAATGTTGTTTGACTAGTCATGAGTTTGATATTCTTGGGGCCATTTATGGAGAAATTAGGAGCGCAGTAAACCACTTTCCTACACACAATTGTGTAATTATATTGTATGCTCATATACGGAGCGAAATATATATTAGAAAATACAAGTGAAAGGATTTTGGGGGCCTAAAATTGGGGATTCAGTGCGGTGGCACCACCACCAGCACCATCCCATGGCCAACCTTGCTTCTCACTGTTGCAGGATACATACATCGTTGTGCGACTGAAATTGAATGGGGGAACTCCGAAGCACCTACATGTAAATTATGCATGTGTACACATATTTATATATAAACTTTTCTCTAATGTGGAAGTCCCGTATATTTCTTAATGTCCGGACCTTTTTTTTTTTTTTTTGCACGATCAGAATAAATTCAGTCATTCAAATGAAAGGAAGCCATTTTCATTTTGTTTTGTGTATTTATCTTCTTCTCAATATTCTTATCATAAAAAAGTGGCCTTGAGTCACATAAAACAGCCTCCAAGTTCTCTATATAGGCCACCAATGAAGGAAAAGCCCGATTTGGTGGTGATGTTTTATTTTTTAATACAAATGATATATAGTCTAAATTAAACTTGGGTGCAAGAGAATGCAGCAAAAAAAAAAAAAAAAAAAAAGAAGCCCAGACATTAGAAAAAATAAGGACGTCCACATTAGATTACATAAATCTACATTATTTTTTTTCCAAGACTACATGAATCTATGTAGGGTAGTAGTCTTTTTCCAAATAAAAGACTACATGAATCTATGTAGGGTAGTAGTCTTTTTCCAAATAAAAGACTACATGAATCTATGTAGGGTAGTAGTCTTTTTCCAAATAAAAGACTACATGAATCTATGTAGGGTAGTAGTCTTTTTCCAAATAAATGACATGTTATGTTACTAAATTATTAATTGAGACCACAAATCTAGTCTAGATTAACAAATGAATGACATGTTATGTTATTAAATTATCAATTGAGACCGCATATCTAGTATAGATTAACAATCTCACAATCTCGCAACATAACACGTAAAATTATTTGACAAGAGAATTTTTCCCTCCAAGAACTCAGCGTTTAGGATTGTGGGGCTTGGTTTAGTAGGGAAGTTAAAAGTCACAGCGTCATGAAGTCTCTCTTTCATTTTTTCAGTCAAACACATCACAAAGACTAGGGGGCTTGGTTTGACCAAAAAAAGAGACAGATCACACGAAGGAACCAAACCACAAAACAATAAAGACAGGAAATATAATTGCACAAAGAGTAGGTGAAAGTTGATGCACACCATAAACGTCAACCGAAGGTGGAAGACCAATTTAACTAGACGGGTTCAACCATAAAGTGTCCAGCACAAAAAAGTTTATATAACCTCCCTAAACCCCAAGGTGGAAGATCAATTTATCACCAATACAATAATTAACCATGACTTATTTTAATGAGAGTCTGAAAGCATGTGAAACTAGCAGTAAAGCCATCACAGCCAATCTACTGAGTCAAGGAGTTCCCCACATCGATCACAAACCGATACCGGACATCAGATTTGGCAATTCGTTCCATCGCAGTGTTAATGTAATCCATTTGAATCAGCTCGATGTCTGAGGTAATATTGTGCTTGGCACAGAAGTCAAGCATCTCCTGCGTCTCTTTCATCCCTCCTATGTCACTTCCCCCTACAAGCTTCCGCCCTGAAAGCCATGACAAGATTAGAGGATATTACAGAAACTGAACACTAGATTATGTTTCTAGAACACATGTTACAGAATTCGAGCATTAGTTCATGTTTCTAGAGCCCTTTGCATTCTACTAGGATGGGGGGAGACAAGCACCAAACAAACATAAACACCACCAAAAGAAAGCATAAGCAATTTGTTAATATCTGTTTGGAAATCAGGGATTGATCAGGCAATTTAACACTTCGTGTTTCTCCTGAATAGAATATCCCCATCATAACGTCTTAGGCACAATGCGCACGAAAAGCTATAAGCCTGGAAATAAGTTAAAAGTTGCACATTGATGCATCCTCCTCCTAAATAGAAAAATTCAGTCTTTGTTGTTATAAAACAAAACAATGAAGTGTTTGTGGTCAGATAGGCATACCCAAAACTAAGGGAAAGATTGGCAACTCCAGGGGCTTGTCAGGCAAACCCACCGTGACCAGCTTCCCATTCAGCTTCAGTAGACCAATTAATGGAGCCAGCGAATGAACTGCAGACACCGTGTCAATGATGTAATCCATGGTACCCATTGCTGCCTGCGTAGTAAAAGCAGGAAACAACAAAATATTAGGGCAAAACACTAAATATTCTAGACCTTCTGAGAAGAGGACCCAAAAAATAAACATTATGGAATCAATCTGCAGAACAACGTATAATGTGGAGTCGTTGAGGTAGGTCATATCAAAGATCTGAGATTTGTTCTCAGCATTGCACCTAGATGTTTCATTTCTTGTATTATTTACCACTAGCCTCTCTGCACTGGTGCAGGGAGGGTGACTAACTAAACTGTTATTGCCTTCGAGGATGAGTAACTAAATTGATAAGTATTGAGGGTAGTGGGAAAGAAAGCTAAGAACGGTTATATTTTACTATAAATTTGTAAACTATTTCAATGGAATATTTTACTCTTGTTATATAAATTGGTTTGTTGTAGCCATTTCTTAAGTGGAGCATGTTAAGGGATTTTGTAAGTTTCATGGTTCCTCCTTGTAGATATAGATTACCTTCAATTTTGCAGGGTCACTTGAGAGGAGAAAAGAATCAGCTCCAAGTCTCTTAACAGCCTCATCCTCCTTTCCTGGGGAGGAACTGATGACAGTCACTTTCAAACCAAAAGCCTTACCAATCTTCACAGCCACATGACCAAGCCCACCAAGTCCTGCCACACCCAAATGCTTTCCAGGCTCAGTCATGCCATAATATTTCATTGGACTGTACACAGTGATCCCAGCACATAAAAGTGGTGCACCCGCATCAAGGGCTAAGTTATCTGGAAAGCGGAGCACATAGCGATGGTGAACAACAACCATATCGGAATAACCACCATAAGTTTTTGTTCGGTCATGATCGAGTGAGTTATAGGTAAATATTGTTCGAGGGCAGTAGTTCTCTAAGTCCTGGTCGCAGGTCTCACATTTCATGCAGGAACCTACTATGACCCCAACTCCTACATGATCACCTACTTTGAATTTCTCCACATTCTTCCCAGCTTTGGTCACAACACCAACAATTTCATGCCTGGAAAATCAATTGAAAATGTTCAACACACACAGGAATGATTTCACAGGAATAAAAAAACGATCATTTCTGGTACGTGCTGCAAAAAGCAGAGGGATACAACAGTCAATTCCCACACATGAATGCATTTTTTTTATAAGATATTTGGTCATATGCAGAGGTAAACAGAATCAAAAACATTTTGAAATGCAAATATTTAAAAAAAACACACACAAATATGCATGTTAAAATTCCATCTACCAAACAAACAACTAATCCACCAAATTTTTACAATGACATCATGCCTTATGCCTATAGCAAGAACATTATCGAAATCATTTGCGTTTGATTTATAACAATCAAATGAATTTACTATAACTTATAATAGTAAATGTTTTTAATAGTAAGATTCATGACAGTCTAGACTCTTATTAAGACAAAAACCACATAGATCCTTGTGAAGTAGGCTTCCGTAAATAACATTTTCATTCAAACTTAAAAGAGACACATCATATTATCTTTCATACAGAGTGACACGAGATTAGCATGTTACCCAGGTACAATAGGGTAGTTGGTGAACCCCCATTCATTCTTGACAGAATGCACGTCTGAATGGCAAACCCCACAGTAAAGGACCTTTATTGTTACATCATCATCCGCCCCTACAAATAACGCAAACAACAGCTCAAGTAAATAAATGAATGTAGTACAAAAACTGAGTGATCTATTAATTTAATGATTTTCATTTCAAGTTTTTTTTTTTTATCAGTCTTTATATTTGCAAGTTTTAGTGAAAGAAAATTAATCACCTGGGGAGTGATCCCCTTCTTATCCCCCTGAATTTCAAAAGCATTAAAACACTGAATAACAACAGAACGGGTTTATTTTGTTAACTCTCTTTTTATCATTTTGTCAAAGTAATCTTACACAAGTTATCGGTATAGCTGCTAAGTTAAGCAAAACCCATAAACAAAACCCACCAGAAATTCTTAAATCAATTACATGCTGTATTTTCTAGCGGAAAAAAGAAAAAAAACATGGAGTGTAAAGAACGTTGGAGCAAAGCTTCCATCAAATTGTGTTAGGGTCTAAACAACTGTTAGAAGCCAAAAAAAAAAAAAACAAAGAGGGAAACACGTAAACAAAAAAACAAACAAAAAAGTTTATACACTATTCAAGTTTGTAGGATCAGCCTAGATCATTTTCAAAGAAAAGAAAAAAGCAATATAAAGAATATTACAAGAAAATAGGAAAGGTAAGCATATACGATATACCTTCTAGAGAAACGAAATGGGGAAAGAATTCCAGAAGTGTCTCTGGCAGCCCACCCGAAAGCCTGCTGTGGGTGTTCTTCTTCTGGTGATTTTGCCATTTTCTTCCTCCCTCCCTCAAATTCTCAATTCTCAATGCTCAATGCTCAATGCTCTCTCTCTCTCTCGTCTCTGTAGAGTCACTCTATCGACAGAGGGTTACTGCACTATCAAGTGTAGGGAGAGGGACACAGCACTCGATGCATTCAACCAAATATATAGAAGAAAACTGAACCGTCTACAATAAATGCTCATATTTTTTGACTTTCCGGTTTCTATTTTTTATCATTTAAATGGTTTAGACAAATATGAATATTACGAGCATTTTTATCATTGATCTTTTTCTAATATCATATAGAGAAATATTTATCTAAAAAAATATTATGCAAGGAAATATACCGAAGTGTAACCCATCACATTACATGTATGATGTATCACTTTTCTTACACTAAAAATAATGTCATTAATGCATCATACAAGCTAATTTTTGTTTTCCAAGTCTTATTCTTATTAAATGTATTGATTTTTTTTTTTTTTACAATTTTGTTACCACCTTATTAAAAAAAAAATTAAATAAGAAAAACCTCCATTGGGTCATCACCTTATTAAATCATGAGTCATCACCATCCCTCGCTTAGGTTAAAGTGGTGAGCAAATGTGTACCTTCACCAACCTCTTAAAAACTTGACACATGTCTATGACTATAATCATAATTAACTATTTATTTAAAAAAAATTTAAAGTATTTAAAACCCAAAAAAAAGTCAAATAATAATAAAATAACTTTTTTTTAAACCTCTCTTTCTCTCTCTTCCCTTGCCAACCCACCCTACGCCAGGGGCTCTATTTTCTACCAATGTCTAAAATATCGATGGTATCGGAAATAGCGGTAGTCCAAAAATACGAAAATTTCGATGGAAATATCGGAATATTATCGATATCGATAAAAATTGAATAAAAACCACGGAAATTGTAAGAAAAACTCGGAAATTTTTATTGAAACTTTGGAGGATGTTTATTTAGTCAATTATCTATTAGTTTATCACAAAAAATTAGAAGGAAATGCATTGCATGATGAGTTTTACTGATTTAAGTTGATTATACAGCAAGCTAGCAAACACTGCGAGTGTAGAAAATATATAGTAATTAATAAAAGAAGATTAAACACACACTAATCATTTATACGGTAATATTTTACACTTTATACATTATACGGTAAGATACATGAGTAATTTAGTACCACATAGAGTTCCTATGAGGTTTAAATTTTTCACTATCTTCATAATCTCTATGTGTAGAATAAGTGTATTGTGAAGAGTAGTCATCAAATGATAAATCCCCAAAATAGTTTTGCATGTAATTGTTAACATGCCACCCATATGGATTCGAGATTGGTTGACGTTGTCCATAAGCAAAATCATTTGAAGATTGAGTCTCAGATTTTTTCAATGAGCCGTTCAATCCAATTCCAAAAGGAAAAAGTCAAAGACTCGCATTCTCATGTGTAAATCTAATTTTTACAAAAACAGTTCAAAACAAAACAATAAAACTATACATATTTTAGCATATATCACAAATACATAAGCAACATGGTGGTTAAGGCATTAGAGGAGTGAAATGGTAGGGGATTGGATCCCCTTTGTGTGTGTGCTTTGTGTTTTTTTATATTTTTTCCATTACATCGATATTTTCGATATTATAGCGATATTTTAACAAAATATTGCTGAAGTGTGAGCGAAATTATCCACATTGATATTTTCCGATATTATCGTCAATATTGTTGATATTTATACGATGTGTGTATGGATACGTTTCAAAATATCCGTGACTCGAAAAAACGATAATATCCTCAATATTTCGTCGATATTATTGATATTTTAGACTATGTTTTCTACAGCCACCCCAGCCACCATTCACTCCTCCACCTTGTTCACCCTCCACCACGCCCCCACCACAACCACCACACACCCCAAAACCCTAGCCTCCCCTACCACAACACCACAAAGAAATATACAAACAGAGAGAAAGCAAGTTATTTTCTTGGATACCTCTATTTTCAGAGAGAGAGAGAGAGAGATGGGAGATGAGTTTGGGATTTTGGGTTTGGGATTTTGGGTTTGTGCATTGAGAAGCTGTTGCTTCTTTTCTATAGATAGGGAAGAGTCTAGAGAGAGAGAGGGAGACATGGAAATGAGTGGAAAGAAGGGATGGTGATGACTCATGACTGAATAAGAAATAGAAAGAGGAGCTATCAAAGGAGGCTGGTCCTAAATTGATTCAGTCTCTCTGCTGAAGTTGGTATTTTTTATTTAACTATGGTTATAGTCATAGACATGTGTCAAGTTTTTAAGAGGGTGATGAGGATATACATTGAGTTAAAAGTGGTGAGCAAAAATGCTCCCTATTATATATAGGCAAATGAGGGTAATTTTGTTCATCATTTTAATTTAATGTGTATTATAATAATTCTTCTTAACACTTGACAAGTATTTATGGACATAACTATAGTTCCACAAATATAAAATAAAAAGTTAACTATAATTATACCTATAAACACATATCAAATGTTAAGAAAAATAATAAAGATACATTTTGAATTAAAATAACGAGCAAAAATATTTTCATAAGCAGGTGGGATAATGAAATGGTCACTGCAGTTGCAGCTGCATTGTGCATGAAATAAATGGCATCTGACTATCCACCGGAAGGGAGGATTGGAGTGGGGCAGAGTGGCAGCTAAAACTTAAATACGGGTCTTTATGACTGATAATACTACTGCCAGCTTTTACTATCAATTTAAGCAGTAAGCAGTTGTTGAATGATATGGGAGGTGGGGTTTTAAATTTGACGCTTTGTAAGAAAAGCAATTGATGCATAAAAAAAGGAAAATATAAATATTACGAAATTTGTCTTTGTCTTTCTTTTTTAAGGAAAAAAAAAAAGTTCTGAAATTTATTAGGCATTGGAGACGGGTGACAATAGAGTTGCGGCCGTATATTGTGGTTCATCCTCCTGTCCATGCAGATTTGTTCAATAACACTATAGAGGGGATTATGGCCTCGTCAGGGATTGTTTTTTTTGTTTTTTTTGGTTGTTGTCAAAAATCTGTTTTATTTTAAAATTTAACAATTTAAGATGTTTGGTAAAAATAAAATATTTCAATTATTTTAAAAACAGTTGCTTTTTGACAGTGACTTTTAAAAACACGCTCTAAAGTGCTTTTCAAAACTGCTTTCAAAAGAAGCATAGTCAGCATTTAAAGAATTTTTTTAATTCCCAAAATATCATCATTAATTTTTAAAAATGACACCTCCACCTCCACCACCACCACCTTCACCAACCTCACCACCACCACCACAGCCACCGCAACTGCCCCCACCACCACACCCACCACAAAGCATCACCTCTCCATACACCTCCACTACCACCACCACTACCTCCACCACCAACACCACCACCGCGACCACCACCTTCTCCTCAACCTCTACCACCACCACCTCCACCTCCAGAACCGCCATCCCCACCACCAACACTACTACAACCACCACCTCCACTTTCATCACCACCACCACCACTTTCACCTCCATCTCTTTCACCACCACTACCATCACATGATTAGTGCATAACATTTCAACATCATGTCTATTTTAGTCATTATTCACAGTTACAACAATTTTATATTAAAATTTACCAAACGGTTTTAACACTGTTTTTTGTACTAACAACACTTTAAAAATATTGTTTACCAAACATGGAACTACATTATTTTACAGCTAATTATTTTCAAAACATAGCAGAAACAACTTTTAAATTTTTTTTTTTTTTTAAGTGACAACAATCCCAAACTGAGGGGGTTCAATCTAGTCGTATAATTATAACTCTATAGTCGCCAACAAGGTCTAGTGAAAAAGGGCTCTGATTTGCAGACCAGATGAAAGGACCCGCCTCAAAACCCCCTTTGGAATATGTGACAAACCTTGTGTATGTTCGACACATGGCAGGTGTGGTCCCAAATTACTAAAATACCTTTCTTGCCCTAATTCCAAAACCCCAGAATTTCCACTTGTAGAGAAAACATAATTTAAATCTCCCAACCATTCAACATGTACAATCTATAAACCACACACCAATTAGCAAAAGTTTTAATGGGTCTTGGGCCCCCTTTTACCTTACATAAACCACTCATCAAATTGAGTATGGTCTCAACCCCTAAAACAACATAAATAAGTTATCAAATCCATTTTGACATAATTGAACATGCTAAACAGAGCCTAAACTTGAGGCTGGACCTAGGTTAGGCTAGGTTGCCTACATATCCTCACTAAGGGATCGAGCCACATGTAATTCTTTATACCATAAATCACAATTCATATAATATAGTATTGTTCAAGGTGAAACCAACAATAAAATTTTAGAATCATTCTTTGCGTTGATTTCAACAAGCTATATAACTAAATATAATGCCCCGAAAATATCTACCTAACTGTTTAATCAATTTATTATTGTACATCCAAATATATATATATATAATCAAGCCTTTTACCTGGAAGCCATATTTGTGACCTTCCCATAGGGCATATATCTTGCAATCACCCACCAAAGGGTATAGGAAAATATCATCAAATCTGAAGGCAGTTGGGAAAAGGGGAAACTGACCAACCACCTGTGTAGAAAAGTCAAGCAGGTCGCTCGGGAAATCCAAGGCGGACGTCTATATACAAGATATAGGTACACGCAAATTGTCCGAAGGCAACTGGGGAAGGGGGAAAACTAGCCAACCACATGTGTAGACAAATCATGCAGGTGGCTGGGAACATATTTGGAAATGGAGTCGATCCAACGGTTTGAACATGTCGAACCGAATAACGCCTAATATGCGTAAATCCAATCGACTATCAAACTATAACCAAATTCAAATCTGAGTATACCCTCGTGCTCGAGACGACATGGGGAACATTTTAGAACCAAATGGGGCACCCAACCATGGCCCATGCGCCTCCACATGAGCTGGCAACGCTTGGGTGGCTTGAGAAAATTTCGGCTACTAGAAAATTCTCAGAACACCCATCAATACCTATATCTACATGATTAGGACAACCAGTATAGCAACTTTTGTGGCCACGATCAAAAAGTGGCCGGAGCTTGCAAAAAATTCTAGAAAAAAATGGGTCAAAACTTAGGTTTC